TTACCTGGGACTTTCCTCTTGCTTTCGGATATTTCATGTTTCGCACAGGTGCCCATGATGATTTCCAGACAATGCCACAGCCTTGGGCATTGCTATGATTAATATTTTGTGTTACTGTCAATGAAAACCACTTAGTTCATACAGATAAGCCTCCACAGGCAGTGTCAAAAAAGATCCTACTGTTTGGTAGTGGTTCATGCCTGTTTCATTACGAAAACACAGCTTCACCCCTTTATTACTAAAAGCCTCTTTCAATGAGTAGTAGTATCATTTTTTGTATCATTTTTTAATTCTTCTGTCTTACAAATGCCTCAAACCCTCCAGAGGAGCTACAGAACCCAGCAGAATAAAGAGGTTCTTGAGAATGCTGACATTAGATTATTAATTTTGCATTAATAATTGGAGGAAAAATCTGTGCACTATTGAAATAATTGGTTCAAAACAATGATCATGGTAAGTCTGTAAGTGAGAGCAGCCATTAGCACCTTAACTTTAAGGATAGATACACATAATCTTGTTATCAGTCATCCTTGAGTCAGTTATGCACACATCTACCTTTATTAAAGTCACTGGAATACAGGACATCACCCCCTTGCCTACTAAAATTGCTGACTAGGCTAAGAGCTAGCAAAAAAAATTCCCAAAACCCAAAAAACCCCCCAAAACCAAAATAGAAAGCTCTTTGTCATTTAATTATGTATCTTAATACAATGGTCCACATAACTTGCCAATCACACAGGCATTGTCTACGGCGTTTTGGTTTTCTGAGTGTTTAAACATTTCCAGAACACATTAATAAGGAACATTTTAAAGCATAAGGCTTAAAGCTTTGACAATTCTTTTAGTAGTACTGCATCGATTAGAGCACATCTTGAAATAGTAATTTATTATTTTAATTCTGAGCACTTCCAACTTGGAAAAAAATCTCTCAAAAAACTCTTTTCAAATCACGTGAGCATTGACTTTCTTTCTTACTTGGTTGGACACAGTAAATGCTTACATAAACCGCTAACACTGTAAGACATGACCTTATTTTTTCATAGATCATGCCCTACTCTTGAGCAAGAGATTCAGGTTACAAATAGCAGAAAGGAATCCAGAGCTGAGACTGAAGCACAACTCACAGAGGATTTCTCAGCATAGAAGCACAACACTGCCAGAGGCATGTTATGGACATGCCCCAAGGTTTCACTTTCTGGCTATCCTCTCAAGAAGGCAAAGCAACAACATGAATAGCAGTTCTGCTATACTGTGTTTACTATCTGTAAAAACATTCTTTTGCAGAGCATAAATTGAGGATTATAGTTTTAAACAACTGCTCCAGGGCTAGACTGAATACTTAACTCATCTGACAAAAAGAAGAAAAGGAACTAGGGCTCTGTGCTGCTGAATTTGGACACTTGCTGCATACTGGAACCCAAGGCTCATATTAAGCTTCTGAAACCTGTTGTTCTGACCGAGTAACCTATTAATAGCAGGTTACCTGTTTTGACCAGGTAACCTTAATAGTTGTCAGCAAACTGGATCACAAGTTTTAAAGGGCAAACACAATTTGGGAGAAAGGTACTAAGGCAGTTAAACAGCCACTGCAGACAGAATGAAGTTCCTGCTGTGTGCAATGTGGAACCTCACAGTGTACACATGAAAAAAGATTCAGCAGAAATTACTTGTGTGCAAACACAATCTTTCATTTAATGAACTAGTAGAAAACTGGCCAGATCATAGTTAAGGGTAAAAAGAGCACTCCTCAACTCTCTTCTTTTAAATTTTAAATCACTAAAACTGATGTTGGCATAGCTTATCCGGATGCCATTTTTATCTTATTTTTCTGACAGTCCTAGAAAAAGATAAACTGTGCACATAATTGGAAGAGCTGTTCTACTGCTAACTTAAGAGAAGTTACACAGCAGTCAGAACTTGACTCTCAAGAAAGCCAGATTATAGATGCTCCTACTCTACATAAACAGAGGAAAAAGCACGTATTACAGAAAAAGGAATGGCTTTATCTACGAATAGAGTTCTATGTATTTTTACATGTGCTAACTGAAATATGATTGAACAAATGGCAATCCAGCACCCACCTGGAACAGCTTTTCATAATCAAGCTACATCTCAGCATTTCCTAAATAATTATTCAGTTTGGAAATGAACTAATTTTAGAATATATCTATTTATTTTAACAAGAACAAAAAAATCTGAGAAAACTGAGCTTTTTGTATGTGTCTGACTTTAAGAATCCAATATATTGACATTCAAGACTAATGCTACAATGAGCTTTGTCAGTGTCACGGTATTGAAAATCCCACAGGTTCTGCAGCCAGAGGCTCTGCAAGCATTACGGTGACACCAGGTGAAAGAGAACAGGATCCCATCCCCTGGATAGGATAAGTATACAACCAAAGGGCAATTTTTGAGATTTGCTGTTGTATGGTTTTATCTGAAAAATAAGAAGGGCAACTAGGTGGTAAACTATACATATTTAGGCATTAAAGAATAGAAGAGCTTAATTACTCTTCCTCTGCTATTAGCAGAGGCAGAATATCTCCCACTTTTCCATCCCTTCTGTATAGAAGAATTTAAAGCTCTGCCCCCTCTGCTGCTGAACTATGTCCTCACTAGATAAAAGTTACAACTCCATACCTGAAAGTGGAAGGAAAAATAAAGCCTTGCTTTCCCTGTCCATAAAAGAGCTGCTTTTCACTTGGGAATGCAGAACCACAGACATTTAAAATGTCTTTCAGGATGCAGAAACTTGCACTAAATAGACAATCATATATTAAGGTAAAATATATAGCCAGGAACAGCTACTATTTCTAATAGCTATTGGTCTCCTGACCAAGCATAAATAGTAGTAAGATTAGTAAGGTTAGTGTAGTTACTCCATCAAAACATCACTTTCTGGTTGAGTGAAGCACAAGCTTGGAAGAATTAACATTTTCCGATTTAAAGTTTTTCACTTTTCTATTTGACTTCCCATCACAACAGGACGAAGTACTACCAAATCCCGGTAGACAGTCGTATTCCTGCCACTATAGTTCATGAGCTTCCTTTTCATGTCCGTTTTAACTACTACTACTACCAAGCTCCAACTTATCCTTTAAGGTTATCTCTTTCCTACTTTAGAAAGGTTCTCAGAGAAAAACCTTTTTATCAACCAACTAAGAATCCTGGAAGGCAGTAATTCAAGTCATTCATGCCATGATCCTGCAGTACCAGCACTTTCACAAAGGGCCCATAAAATCTCCTTTTTACACTTACTGAAAATAATCTACAAAATAGCAAAGAACCTTCTCAAAAAAACAACCCTTCCCACATGTAAATTAGACAAAACAGAACTAGAGTAAAACTAATATAGACTTCTACTTGAAATAACTGTATTTTCAACTAATATTGATTACCATTAGAGTTCATATAAAAATTCAATGTCCTCCCCAGGACTGCAGCAATTGTGAAATTGGCAGCTGAGGCGCAAATTAAAAGCACAGAGCAAGAAATCTGCAATGAATTTGTTGCAGCCATTGCGAACAGAAAGTAGTTAGCAGAAGGAAAACCTTCAGTGTCAAATGGAAAATAAGGAATGATCATATTTTTAATAAACTTTCATTTGTGTCCGTCCCCGCCCCCCCCATTTACACTCAGATACGTAAGCAGAATGTGCTTGGAAGCAGCAAGAGTAGAGCTTCAAAAAACTCTTGTGCTTCTTTTAATAATTTATTAAAGATCCTAAAAGAAAGATCAAAAGGGAATATATCTAACCATTTATATTCAATTCCACACCGCCTGATGACTTATTTGTAAAGAGTGCACAAGTCTTCACAACTGAAGCCAAAATCATTCCAGGATACTTTGATTTAATGCCACAAAGGATATGAGCAGGAAGGCAGCAAAAGTTACAAATGGCCAAGCTCCATTAAAAGTGCTAATAAAAGAATAATGGAATTTCCTTATCCTATGAATAAAAAGTGTTTGGCACAGAACAATTTAGACATGGAGAGGAATACCAAAGCTTCTGGTTCATCAGTTGCTTCTTCTTATTAGATCTTAATTGACTTACTATTACATTTACCTTAAAATGCTTCAACTCAAAAAAGTAATGAACCCATTCAAAATCATGTCACACTAATCTCCTTTGCAAAATCACACACACTTTGCAAAACGGAAGCAGCAAAGACAGTGATCTCATACTGCTGACAAATTGTAAAAGGATTTAGTGCACTTGTTTAAAAAATCATGCCCACAGATGCATTAAGATAAAAGGAACTCCCTGAAAATATTTACACACCTACTTAAACTCTCCTTTAATATGCTCCTTAATGCTCTCTTTTGCATAATGTCTACAAAACCCCATGACTCAGATATATTGTGATCTCTGTCTCTTGGTTCTCCAAAATCTTCTTGTACAAGCTTTAATTTTTTATTTCATATTGGAATATCTTTAGGGAAGTGATCTTCTTTTCCTACCCTATAGTATGGGATACAATAAACAAAGTTGGTTCTATCCTACCAGGGTTCTCAGACTTTACAAATAAGGATCAAGTTGTAATGATGATGTATATTTCTTCTTCTTCCCTTGGACAACCATCAGGCTGTTCGCAAAGCAGCCTCTTCCACTGATGCTTCCAGAATCAATAGGTAATTCATTAGTATCATGTATCTCGGGGCCTAATTGACACAGCAGGCTAAGCAACGTACTCAAGGGTAACACAGTTTCAAAATAGAAAAAAAGAAGGGACTCTGATACCACATATGGTCACTTTGTGTAATTTAGTGTCAGTCTATAAATTATAATTCTATGAGGTGAATGTGAGTCATTGGTTTCACAAATCAGAAAATGCTGCTTTTCAAGCCTGGCTTGAAGAAACAAAGAAACTTTTATATGATAGTGTAATTTAAGTAACATGAATACACTAGCACTTTCTATTTTATAATTTCCTCTCATTTTTGCATTAAACATGAAATATAGTTATCACAAATGTTTGGAATTATTCTTAACAACAAACATCGGTAGTATATTTTTTCTTACCTTATGATCATATGGATTGTATGAATGAAACAGCTGGGACAGATCCTTTGTTCTCTGTTTTTTCTGAAAAGTAATATTAATAAATAAACTGCATCAGAAAAGTTATAGGGAAAAGAAAAAGAACACTGATTTAAAAAGCTGTATGCAGGTACAAACACATTCTCTCCCCACTTTGCTAATGGAACTGTAGGTATGAAGAGCAGTGTATGCAGATTAAGGATATTAAATATCACAGGAAATGATTAACATATATATTAACAGTGTTAAGAACACATCCTTAATAAACACTAATCTACAGAATATCAATGGAATGTGTAAACAATTCAGATTTGTTTTAATTTCTGCACAATAAATCATAAACAACGTTTCAGAATACAGATAACAAAACTTGAAGATTAGGCTCCAATCTTGCAAAGACTTGTCTACTATTCTAGCATGTACATGCAGTCTTGCTTTATAGCTTATTAGTTTTAAAGGAAGTCAGTTTAAAGAAGAATAATTTATTATTTTTCCATTTCTTTTGATGCTAATACTCTCATTGCCTTGATTGTGGAAAATTAATAGGTGGTATGCCATTTAATGCCAAGGCAATGGGAAAAAACCTCCTCCTGTTAAGAACAAAGTTCAAAGACAAAACCTGCTTAATCCAGCTTCTACTGAAATCAATGAGAGAGCTTTCAGTGATTTCAGCAGATGTTAAATAGAATCTCTCAGCTGCATCCTATGGGGGGTGGGGCAGGCAGAGAGAGGAGAAAAACACCCTTCATCTCTAATGCAGGGAGGAGACACAAATAAGTTCAAAGTTTTATTATGTCAAAATCGACACTGACTTCATTGACGTCACAGCTTGGGAAGGAAAAGCACTGCGTGTTGGAAAATGTGTCTTGCTCTACAAGAACTCCTTGCTTGTAGTCTGTACCGCTGTCATCTCACAGCCATCATTTCTGTAAAAGTAGTTTTCCAGCTAAACTGGTAGGATCTGTTCATGTTTCCAGCATGCTGGGATCTAAATAGATAGCTGCATGACTGCAGTATTTATTTTAACTTCTGGAAACTATAGGACAATTCAGTAGATTTTGATTAAGCAAAACGAACTATGTATTTCCTTTTGTTATGCAGTTTTAACTTTCAGTGAAGTGTTCAGACACAGCAACTTAGTCATAAAAGCTCTAACTTTAGTTACTAGTATGCATGTATGACATCTGGATATTTCTGAGTCATTAAAGGTATCAGATTAAGATTACCACTTCTGTGAGGTCCCTCCTATGTTTTAGTTATGACCGGTAAAGAGTCAGGAAAAGAAAGTAGTTTTTTTACTCACTGTCCCTCTTCAAACAAGAACGGTAAATTTTGTTTTCAGTCTGAGAAGGTCATTTCTGACAGAGACAATTCTATTAAATTACCATAAGTGACACCCAACAGGACCTATTTCTCCGAGTTTACTAAGCGGCTTTAAAACTAACAAAAGGGATGCTAAAAAAGACATTTCTGTTAGCGTAGACTTTCTCAGCAATTGAACATGCCTTTGCCAAAGAAAAGATGCTCCTTAGTAGAGGAACCTTCACCCTCTAACCTCCATCAATACCTCTTTTATTTTCAATAGGAAAAAACCCCACTCAAATGAAAGCGTCAGGGACACAATCTAAATTCCATTACCACCCTAAATTACTTGTTTCCTGGTAGTACAGTTATACCCAGTGAAAGTGCCTCAAATACTGTAAAAGGGATTTGGAGAAATGTGATAATAAATTGAAAAGAGATACCAAAATGATTATTAAAATGGTTGCTTCAAAGATTTCATGTAAAATCATGGAAGAAGGCGGCAAAAGCATTTTAGTTTGGAATCTGGAGACTTCCACTAAACTTCCTGGAAAAAAAACCCCACAAAATTAAGAAAAAGTCTAATTCTTGGTTCTTCTTACTGAAGACTATCATATCCATTTTGACTGCACATAAAGTGCTTTTGAATATTTTTATTGCAATAGCTTTAATAACACTCTATAAAACTATATGACAGAAAACCTCCTATCTTTCACCCTAAGGCTCTGGCCAAAATACACACACAGCTAAACAAGATGAAGAATAAAGATGGCTTCCCTTATGCAACACATTGACATAGTCTTCCACTTTTTATTACAGAAAATTTTGTGTTCTTTCCTACCTTTCCACAAAAGGTTGAAGTTTTGCTTTTTGCACAAAACCAAAATGTATATTGCACTTTTCTGGCGATCCTCTTTTCATACTCAGGTGATAATTACCTGTCTTTAAGACACTATTAATGTGGCCTAAAACTTGTTTGCTTCCCTTTCAAGCATGGTACCGTATGTCTACAATGTTTATTGTGAAGGAGAAATACAGTACCATTGAGATATTTTTACTACAGATGACTTAGAAGCAGCTTAAATTGAATATTCTCAGTTTTTTTAATTATTAAGAAATAAAAGGGACAAAATTACTCTCCATTATGAAGGTATCACTGGTTTCCTTTAGACACAACTTTCAGCTTTAAAGAGTCTATTTTCACCTTCAATGTTCTTAGTAATTCCAGCCTAATACTGCAGCAGATCTGCAGATAGAAGGTGTCAGCCTCAATATATCGTCAGCAAAGATCTCCTGCTTTTGTTTTCCTGCTTCCATCATTTAAAATCCCTCCAGTATACGGAGCTGCCTTCAGTAACCCATACCTGTTTCCATTCAATATTCTTTTCCTTCATGATCACAGTGAATAGTAACACGTCAAGGTAACCAGATGAATGTATTTATTTCAGTTCTCTTTCCTCACCTGCCACCTTCTCCCCCATTTCTCTTCCACATACTGCTGGATCAGAATGAAAATACAATATTATTTTGCCACAGGAACCTTATTTAATTTAGAGCTTATAAAGCATCTCACACACTTGAGCATACTAACAACCAATAGCAACACTGTTTTTCTTTCAAACAAGTCTGGCAAACCACATTATCTGCTTGTGTATTATTTAATGGATTACATAATTCAGACTTAAAACCACATTTAACTTTGTGTGCCAAAGTAGAATTTTACTACAACTTTGAGACAGACTTTGAAGCAGCTTTGCAAGTATTTTCACAGTTTTCTTCCCCCGCATTTCCAAAAGCACTCAAACTCCAGCATAATAGATACTTGCAGAAGCAAACACCATGAGATTGGAGATTTCTTGTCTGAAATAAGCCTATCTAAGGCATTTTCTATTTTGACATTCTCTAACTTCACTAACATGTGTTTTCTGATCAATAAGGAAGCTGTGTCTTTCTTTTTTGCCACATTACATCTGTCCTTGGGTAGTTCCAAACTCCAAACTTTTATAAAACAGAATGGAGTTGCCAATATCCTGTCTAAAGACATCGGCTGGCCTACCTTTAATTTCCAAAGAGTTACTTGGCAAAACACCAGAGAGATGTAGCAACTACTCCAACCAAGGTACATTTAAAACCCTTGCTTGGAGATTCAATCCATAAAGCCTTGAATCTGTGTACCTATAACCACAATACAGATATGAGCCAAGCCACTGAAACGGCCACGTTATCAAAGTTTACAGATTGCTTTTTGTTCTGCAAAACGATTTTTTAAAAAGTGATCAGAAACCAGTGAACCATTTGGTTTGACCTTGAGTTATTCAGTGCACCACCCTCTTAGAAATGTACCTGAAAAAAATGTTGTGCCCCAGTCAGATTTCTTGATAAAATCATAACTGGTGTTCACTATGCTCTTGCACCCATGCCCTGTGAGGTCTGAAAGGGCAGAAGTGACAATACCTGCTTGACAAGTTTTCTACTTCCTATAGCTAACTCGCTTCTACTGATATTATTTCTGCCTTTCTGATCACATCTGTAATGAAGCATACAAAATCATTTAGGAATTAGCTAGTCTTTTTGACCTAACCTACCTGAATGACAATGTTAAAACAGACTCACTGTTCTACTTGAACTATTGATATGTGTGCATTTCAATATTTAGCTTGGTTCAAGAAATTACTTTCTAATTATTTTTGATGCATAGATGGAAAATGTCACCTAGTGAACTATGCGTTATATTCAGCAGTTTTCCTCAGTGTTCCAGGATGGTGGACATTTTTTCCAACTCCAGTTAACAAAAGAATCATAAATTCATATCTTGTATAGTCTCTAGACTTCTGTAAACTCAGTGATTCTTTCTAAAAAAATTAGAACAAAGTTTTATGAGCCCATGAAAAGTGGTTTTTGTATGAAACAGGAAAATTCATAAAACTTTATGCAGCTCTACTAATCATATTAATTTAGAAGATGATCACAAACACTAAAGTGACCCTGTCTTCAGGATCGTGGCAACACAAATAGTAATTGTTTAGTCTATTTTACAATTTAAGTAGAGATTCTTGTTTATGGAAAAACATAAAACACTTTCAAAAAACCAGCCCTGGATCTTCAGAAGACCATCTGTCAACCTATTTGAAAATAGTTTCTTGAAGTGTCCATTTTCAATTTAACTATGGGCATTGCAGTTTTTTCCTTCTTACCTTTCTTATAATTTCAGCTATGTAATACAGACTCTTCAAGCTCACATATTTTACAGCTGCTACTGAATTCTATTCCTCCTAGTATATTTGAGTTCTTTAATTTAGTTTAGGATTAATATTTGTTATTCCTGTCATTTTTTGTAATAAAATCTCCCTCTTAGTAGAGGATAAATTACACAAAATTTATTCTGAAGACTTTCACAAAGAAATCCTTGATTTCAAAAAAGGCCTTCAGCAGTCATTTATCTTGAGGGCCTTTAAACTAGGTATAGCTTGTAAATGCTCTGTCTCACTTCTGGTAGACTTTTACTGAAATTTCATAATCTATATGAGGTGGGTATTTTCTAAGGATATCACTGTAACTTATTAGGAACACAGTTTAGCTCAAAAATATTTTGTAGAACAAAAGCATCCAACAGACACTGGGCCTGGGGTATCAGTCATATTTCAAATTAGATTGACACTAAATCAGAAATAAAGTGATTGGGTATGAGGGACAGACTGATTGTGAATATATATAGTTATTGCACCCAGTTATGCAATAATATA